AAAAAAAAAAAAAAAACCACAAACATTAGCCAGGCATGCTGACTATGTGTAGTCCCCGCTTCCTGGAAGGCTGAAGTGGGAGGATCGCTTGAACCCGGGAGGTTGAGGCTGCAGTGAGCCAAGATCACACCACTGCGTTCCAGCTCAGGAAACAGAGTGAGACTGTCTCAAAAAAAAAAAAAAAAAGGTATTCTGGGCACCATAAACTTTTCAATGAACTATGAATGCTTCACGTTTACTAAATGAAATAAGTATTTACTGATTTTTCTAGCGCTCATTAGCCCTTCCTTTTTGGAAACGGCATTGTAGTATCAACCCTACTGTCTCAGACCTGATCGGACACCATCCAGCATGACCAATTGGAATAATCTATCACCCTCACCACAGTCATTGCTTTGAAGACAGACATATGCCTCAAGTCAAGATGAGAAGTTATTTCCAGGACCTTTGTTATAGCTACTGAAAAAGAGGCAAATCTTTATGACCTTGGATTTGGCAATGATTTCTTAAATATGACCCCTAAAGCACAAGGAACTTTAAAAGAAAAAGTAGATAAACGGACTTCATCAAAATGAAAGACTTCTGTGTATCAAAGGACACTATCAAGAGAGTAAAAAGACAGCCCATAGGTCAATGGCAGACTAGGAAGTTTCAAGGTCTCATTCCTCCATAGAAACATCAGAAAAACAAGCAGTAACTGTCTGAACCAACTGTGACTGAGTTTTAGAAAAGAGTCCAAGGTTTACAAGCAAATATCCAATCAAGAAAAAGCCATCTTCAAAACAGAAGGAAAGTTTTGTAGTGTTTTTATTCACCCTTGCCCTACCCCCTTTCCAGCATGGCAGTGGTTTTTGTCTTAAAGCAGTAGAAGCCCAATTCCCAGCTCCTCCCTCAAAGAGCAAAGCAGACCTTATTTGCAAATTATCGTACATATCTGTTCTACCCTGTCTCGGGGGGTATTTGAAGGACACACATAAGGTGCATGCTTCTATTTCAACCTAACACAAAATTCAGGCAGAGAAAGCAGCAGGTATTGCTAATGAAAGCTGCAAAGCAGACTACAGACTAACAGGCACTTGGGGCAAGAGATTACAGATAGATGCCCACGGAAGTTGAGGTGAAATTCTTCGGCAAATTAGGACATTCCAAAGCAACATGTATATGGGGAAATTCAGAAAGCCATGTGAATGCCAAGGCAAAATGTATGATCATATAAGACCTAGGCAGGGCGCAGTGGCTCATGCCTGTAATCCCTGCACTTTGGGAGGCTGAGGTGGGTGGATCACTTGAGGTCAAGAGTTCGAGACCAGCCTGGTCAACATGGTGACATCCCGTCTCTACTAAAAATACAAAAAATTAGCCGGGCATAGTGGCGAGCACCTGTAGTCCCAGCTACTTGGGAGGCTGAGGCAGGAGAATGACTTGAACCCTGGAGGCAGAGGTTGCAGTGAGCCGAGGTCATGCCACTGCACTCCAGCCTGGGCAACAGAGCAAGACTCCATCTAAAAAAAAAAA